AGTATCAGTCTGTGTAAAAGTATGCTTGGCTCAGGTATGGTCTAGTGGTTAGGGTATTGGAGTATCAACCTATCTAAAAACATGCCTTGGTTGAAGTGTGGTCTAGTGATTAGCATATTGGAGTATCAGTCTGTGTAAAAATATGCTTGGCTCAGGTATGGTCTAGTGGTTAGGATATTGGAGTCTCAACCTATCTAAAAACATGCCTTGGTTTAGGTGTGGTCTAGCGGTTAGCGTGTTGGAGTCTCCAGTCTGTTTAAAATAGATGCCTTGTTCAAGTGTGTTCTAGTGATTATGTATTGGAGTATCAGTCTGTGTAACAGCATGCTTGGTTCAGGTATGGTCTAGTGGTTAGCCTGTGTTCAATCTGTGTAAAAACATGTCTTGGTTGAAGTGTGTTCTAGTGATTAGCATATTGGAGTATCAGTCTGTGTAAAAGTATGTGTAAAAGTAGAATTAAGTATGCTTGTAATATATTATTGGGTTGATGACCGAATATGGGAAGTAGTACAGGATTATTAATCCCATTAATCAGTTAAGAATAGTTGCTTTAGGCTATGCATGAACCATGGGAGTCTCTGAATTGGCTGTTTAGACCATTGCATCCCTGAACTGACAAACTTTTATATATATGTGTGTAACTAATTTAAAGAACTTAGCAGCCAAAATGTTCAAAAAACGCCAGGAAAATGTGGTAGCCATTAAAGCACAAAAGATGTGAAAAAAGAGGAAAAAATAACAGGCCTCAGAATGTTAGCTTTGCACTGAAAAGGAAAACCACAGGATAAAACTACATGGTGTCATATACGATTCCTAGAACAACTCATTGTGTACAGCCTGACCTCCCTTAACAATCTTAAATACTTCAGATTCCATTCTGAATCTTCTTTTTTATTCAACTGTCCTCGTATAACAACCTTTTTATCCCAGGTATCCTCCTTGTAGCCCTTCTCTGAACAGTTTCCAACAATTCAATGTCCTCCCTAAGGTAAGAAGCCCAAGACTGAACACAATACTCCAAATGTGGTCTAACCAGTGATCTATGCAATTAAATTACAATCTCCTCAGATTCATAGTAAATAGTTTGGTAGATGGAACTTAAAATCCCATTTACTTTGCCACTGACAAAAGCAGAAAAGTATGCTGATCTCTAAATATTCGTAGGGCTGATCTAGGACGTCATAGAGGTTTACTGGTGCACCAAAGTGCATCATTTTTTATTGCTGTACACAAAACAGTGTTGTTTTTTTCCTTACATCCTGATGGTAACTGAAAATATCTTTTTGCTTCACCTTTTCTGTAAACTATATAGTTAAGTTTGACCAGAACTCAAAAGAGATGTTTATTGTTTAGTTTCTCCATTCACTGTGTAGGGTGGTACTTCAAGGGATCAATTATTTTCTTAAAATATGACTAATCCTTTCTTTCGTTCCATGGCTGTTTGTATTCTGGGTCTTTTCTGAGATACACTGTGTTTATACGGTGGGATTACTTGTGTATGACGTGATTAGGATGGTCGATTTGTCTTCTCGGGGGTGTCCGTTTATTTATTGATACATTGTGTGCTTTAACCTTATTCCTACATTTGGTAGAACTGACTAGTAGGGTAATAAAAGAACTATTATATTTTTAATTTCTGTGAGGATACTGATGTATATGACTTCAAAAATAAATAAATATCTCCTTTTCATAACAAATCGCTCATATTCATGACCTTTCTTATAATTGTTTACAGAGGAGTTGCTGAAGCGTTGTTATGGAAACTTCGGGTGCTTTTCAATTGGCAAACCTTTCTTATCTATTTATCGTCCAATCAACTTGTTCCCTGCGCACCCTGGTGTCCTTAATGTTCATCTCTTCGAAACGTCCAGAAATAATCCTAAACACTTTCAGAGACTAAATAATGATAATGAATCGACCTCAGACTTTGACCCTACTAAACCAGTGAAGATACTAGTGCATGACTATCTTGAAGATGCTAATCACCCTTGGATATTGGTTTGTAAATTTTTAATACTTGGTACCCAATTAAACCTTAAAGCGTTTATAACAAGTGATTATTAGATCGTTATTGAATTCCAGTTTTAAACCAGCCGCAGGTCAAGGTTTGTAACCCTGTTGTAACAATGAATTCATCGATCATGACTGAACTCCAGTTCTAAACCAGCCGCAGGTCAAGGTTTGTAACCCTGTTGTAACAATGAATTCATCGATCATGACTGAACTCCAGCTCTAAACCAGCCGCAGGTCAAGGTTTGTAACCCTGTTGTAACAATGAATTCATCGATCATGACTGAACTCCAACTCTAAACCAGCCGCAGGTCAAGGTTTGTAACCCTTTTGTTACAATGAATACATCGATCATGACTGAACTCCAACTCTAAACCAGCTGCAGGTCAAGGTTTGTAACCCTTTTGTTACAATGAATACATCGATCATGACTGAACTCCAACTCTAAACCAGCTGCAGGTCAAGGTTTGTTATACTTTCATAACACTAAATACATCGATGGTAATTGAATTTCAGCTTTAAACCAGTTACAGATAAAAGTTTGTATCAGATTATAAATGTATTAAATATTTTACAGTATCTACTGTGTTTAAGAATCACAGTGAGAGTTTCGTGTATAAGCGTACTCGATCTGCATGTATACTGTGTAAAACTCTCCAGAAATTCATTCCTGATTGAAAAGTTAATAAACTTTTTGGAGCTTGAGTTTAGTCAGAATGTTCATAAACGAAAAAAAAAAAAAGTTTATCAATTGAAAAGCATTTTCCTTACATTAGAGAAAAAAAAACGAAACGCTATACCTAAGGATGTGTAACAAAACCGAAACTCTATACCTAAAGATTTGTAACATTTGGACAGCATCAATAGAAAGACGTGTAACACGTGGTCAGTACAAACATAATATCGAAACACTACTTGTAGCAGGAGTACAGCAATAACGGAAAAAACGAAACGCCGTATTTATTACACATGCAGCAAGTGATCACCGTAAGCCTAAAAATTCAAATCGGGTGTAATATATATATACATGAAGCAATATTTAGCATTGACAGAGAAACGAAACGAGGAAACTAATATACATGTAGCAGTTAGTTAACACTGACAAAGAAACGAAACTAATATCCATGTAGCAGTTAGTTAACATTGACAGAGAAACGAAACGATGAAACTAATATCCGTGTAACAGTTAGTTAACATTGACAGAGAAACGAAACTAATATCCATGTAGCAGTTAGTTAACATTGACAGAGAAACGAAACTAATATCCATGTAGCAGTTAGTTAACATTGACAGAGAAACGAAACGATGAAACTAATATCCGTGTAACAGTTAGTTAACATTGACAGAGAAACAAATATCCGTGTAACAGTTAGTGAACATTGACAGAGAAACGAAACGACGAAAGTAAACTGTATGTAGCAGGTGATCAGTACTAACAGAAAACGAAACGCCGAATTTGGCTTACGTAACTTGAATTTTCGCTCCAAGCTCCGAGTTTCGTGTAATAAAAACATTTAGAAATATAAACAAACTTTTTGGCTTAAATGGAAAATTAATATCCTCATATATAACTTTCAGCAAATGATCCAGGAACTGTTGACTAACAGCGACTGCAACGTCGTCACTGTGGACTGGTCAAGAGGCGCCACCCTGCCATACACCCAGAGCGTGGCTAATGCTCGTATGGTTGGTGCCATTATCGCAAAATTCTTGACAGATTTACAAGTAAGTGTATCAGACTGCTGTACTTGTAGCTGGGGCACGTCCACGTGAAGTTTAGTTATAAAAAAACACATTTAATGATATGTGTTGCTTAGTAACGTGTATTGTACGTGTAAATTATTTGTTGCTGAGTAACACAGTCTAAATATGTTTAATACTACCCTACTTGTAAATTGCATTTGTTGCTGAGTAACAACCTTGTCGAAACATTGTACATTTGCTGTTATGTTAAACTTATAGTAAAGTTTTTCTTCATTACCCATTCAAGCCGTCTCCAAGTATTAACAGTCTAAATATGTTTAATACTACCCTACCTGTAAATTGCATTTGTTACTGAGTAACATGTACCATACCTGTAAAATATGTTTCTTGCTAAGTGCACCGTAAAGTACAGTAATTACAGAGCCACGTGTAAAAATGTGTTATTGCTAATGTTTCAGTATATTGCAGATAATTCTAGTATGTTCGTAAATTATGGTTTGTACCTAGGTAAGTGTAAAACATAACAGATTGATTTACGTAAAACTTTACGTGTTTGTATTCATTCTCATAAAATTACTTCTTCGTTGGTTGAAATACAACTTGAGTATTCGTATCTTTGGAGTTGCAGTTTAACGGAGGGGGTCAGATGAGAGGGAGGGGCTTAATAAATAGTGCTACGAACCAAGAGAATGTCAACTTTAATATGTAGGGTGAAAGGAATCTGATAGGGAGGATAAAACGTTTATAGTCTGACTGTAACATTGAGTAATGAAAGAGAGTGAAACAGGTATGTAGGATGAAAGGAATCTGATAGGAAGGATAAAACGTTTATAGTCTGACTGTAATATTGAATTGAAAGAGAATGAAACGGGTATGTAGGGTGAAAGGGGGGTCGTTAATCTGAAGGAAAGTAGAAGACAGGTCTTTAAATCGATGTAGAGGTCTGTAATCTGATAAGACGAGAAGCAGATTTGTATGGTGAAGGGGCAGGGATGAAGCTGGGTCTTAGTTAAGGGGGTTTATAGCTTCAGGGGAGGAAAACATTCCTAACATCTAGAAGTACTTGTATCTGTTTCATTCTCTTTCATTCCTCAATATTACGGTCAGACTGTAAACGTTTTATCCTCCCTATCAGATTCCTTTCACCCTACATACCTGTTTCATTCTCTTTCATTCCTCAATATTACAGTCAGACTATAAACGTTTTATCCTCCCTGTCAGATTACAGACCGACTTACGCCCTCTACAGGCTATGGCATGCCTCTTCACCTCAAAGATTTGTCTCAAAATTTCGCACAGACTACAGATATTTATTTTTTTATTCTGTCCTTCGGACCAAAGACCTGTCCCACCTTCTCTTTCAAATTATGGACCTGTCCTCATTTATGTTCGCGCTTTGACAGAACTGGATAACGTTATGACGTAGTAATAATCAAGACTGTAGCAGTATCTGATTCCAAGTGTTTTCGGGGTGGGGGGGGGGGTTAGAATAAAGCACACCGTAAATTAGAATGCGTATTTAGTATCCAAGAATATTTTCAGAATGAAATGTTTGATTCATGCTTAGTTCTTATGCCACTGTATCATTGCTCGGTTTATTTCGAAACGCAGGAAAAACAATCTGTGCCCCCATCCAACATACACATAATTGGACATGGAGTGGGAGCTCATATTGCTGGCTACGTGGGAGAAAATGTACCAGGTCTTGGCAGGATAACTGGTGAGTCTTCCGATTATCAGTCAATAAATAATCGTTTATCCTTTCATTTTTACAGTTTCCTTTGATGATGAAGTTACAATCTAAGTTTCGAGACTTTTTTTTAAAAAAATGTATTCTATTAAATCTATGCATTTACTGGTGAGGTTTATGTGAACCCCCCATCGGATTTCTATACACATTCTTCTGAGCTGTTTATTTACCAGAAATCTGTAGATCCGTGATTATTTTGTATACAGTGCAGTATGGTCCCTCGTAACCTATGTGTGTGTGTAATCAATATTACAATTAAACCAATTAATTACAGCCGGATTCCCCTATCTATTTTACATACAAAATTAATTATTTCAACCAATATTTTTACTCGGTCCCTTATATTCTGTGTGGGTGGATCTTGGGGTGAATTGGGTGTAATCCACCCCCGACCATAAGGTTTTGTATGTTACATTGAAATTTGTCCTACCACTCAAAATCCTTTATTTTTACCAATATTTTTACTCGGTCCCTTATATTCTGTGTGGGTGGATCTTGGGGTGGGGGGTGAATTGGGTGTAATCCACCCCCGACCATAAGGTGTTGTATGTTACATTCAAATTTGTCCTACCACTCAAAATCCTTTATTTTGAACCCTTGTCTCGAATGTGCGGTACGTCTTGTATCATCTCTGTTACTTCGTTGCAAACACAAACTCAAAATTTACAACATGAAGCTAATAATTAGTGTTTATGTGTCCCATAGGTAAAGTATGCTTTACTATTTCTTTAATTAATGTTACTTTCATTAACAGTGTCAATTAAAATCTATATAGATATAATAGTGTTGTATGTCCATGTAACTACTTCGCAGTGTGTGGACGGATCTTCACCAAAATTGGTATGGAGGTTCATTAGGTCCATGTGGGGGGTACATACAGGTTCTCAGTTTTGCGGTTTTTATGGGCGTTTTTGCATTTTTTACCAATACTTCGCCCCCTGTAGATGGATCTTCACCAAATTTGGTATGGAGGCTCATTAGGTCCATGGGGAGATACATACAGATTTTCGGTTTCACATTTTGTGTTTTGCAGCTTTTATGGGCGTTTTTGCGGGTTTTTTTTTCAATTACATGTAAGAGAAGCAACTTTTCATGTCCTAAGATAACTTTTCATTAATCATGAATTTACATAACTTCCGTCCAGGGGAGGGGTACTCCAACTAGTATTTGATATATCTAGTTTTATTATAGAGGCTATTTTGC